TCCTGGACGAATATGGGAAGGTTTTACTCGAATATGGCGCTAACTTCACCTACGTCAAGTTTATGGTTCTTTTTTCTCATGTAGAGGCACCCAAGATTTCTATGGCACTGTGCAATGTCGGAATCATTATTCGGAAGTTGTTCATATAATGAGATTGTTTTAAGAATTGATGAAATTCCTTCATCATAATTACCTTTGAGAAAGTGAACGCCAGACAAACCATGAGTACACTTGGCAGAGGTCAAAATATCATGGTCAACTGATTTTTCCAACGCTTGAGTATAAAAACGTTGAGCTTCATCGTATTTTCCCATTGTACGCATTAGCTTACCCACAGAAAATAAGTCTGTTTCTTTTTCCATTGTACTTTTTATTTGATCAAATACATCTTTCAAGGACAAACTATTCTCACTACATAGTTTCAACTCAATCAACCAATATAGATCGTTCTCATGTTGTTTCTTCACATTTTCTACAGTAAATAAAGAGCCCAGCATGAATAAATATTCTTCTTCGTTTTCGAAAAAACTTATAGAACTGACTAAAGCAAAAGGTTTTGCAGTACTTGCCACCATTTGATCAATGATAATTTCGAATATTACTGGAACTAAGCCTTCAGAATTCAATATTTTTATACCATCTAAAACTGTTTCTTGTAGAAACATTGCATAAGCTTTACTAGCCGATGTTGATAAAAAACTGTTCATGGAAATGCATTGGTTGATCGATGATCTTATCTTTTCTAATTCGTCGTTCGAAATACATTGAAAACGATAGACTTTGTCGACATGCCTTACGCTTTGTGTTTGTAACACCTGAAGTTGTCGGTATAAATCGATAATGAAAGGACGCAATCTATATATTGCATAGATATCATTCTTTCTCAACGACTCATTTAATATTAGAAAGAACACAGTGTTGCTTGTATACCACGAAATTGCTTTTAGAGGTGACTTATCCTGTTCAAACTGATCAATCTTTTCAAGATTTAAAGGACATGTAGAATATTTCTGACGAAGAAATTCAAGAAAGTCTTTTTGATCGGATTGAGATGATGGCATGCGTATTAATGTTTCGATAAATGTTTGAAAAAAGACAAAGTCCCCATTGATTTCCATTGACGATTTGCCTTTTTCTTGTTTTTGACTTGTTGATGTGCATATCTTTGATGACGTCAACATTGTATTTTGAATTACTTCAGATTGTTTTTTATCACGCTTAATCTTTGGAATCAGATCGTGCATATTAGTTGCTACATCCATAATCTAAAATGATTAAACTATTACATTGTTTGTACTATCAAAAAAGATTCGGTTTTTGATTACCTTTCTATGACGACTAGTCCATTGTTTATTTTCAACATGATTAATGCCATAGACATATATTAACGAAATAGACGGTAAATTATCGATCAAGGAAACTATTTTTCGAGCGTATTTGTCTTCAGCAATCAAAATAATTTTCTTGTCTGGACTTTGATGCTCAATATATTGAAGACACTGATCGTATGAGTCAAAGTACCGATGGCATCCACTAATATCTTGTAAATTTAATTGTATAGCATCATCCATTATTTCATTTTCATAACTACCAAGCCAAACAATTGAAAATTCGTCAAATATTTTTCTTCTTGCACTGATTTCATTTTCGAGAATCGATGAAAAATAAAACGTTTTATGCATTGTTTTCTTACTTGCTTGAGTTATTGTCGTATTTGAAATTGGTATTTCTTTTCCTTTTCCTTTTCTTTTCATCACTATTGTTAGAATCGCGAATCAAAAATAAAAATTAGCCTAGAACGAAAACAGAAAACTTGATCTATATATAGTATACAGTGATCAGTGACAAATTTTGCATAGTTCCTCTTTTAATTGCCTTTAAGTACTTCCTTTTTTTTATGTCGGCAAATATGTGTGACACCTCTTCACATATATGAGAGAAATTTCACGGTCCATTGATGGCCTATTAATCATATTCTTGTTCCGATGAAAAACAATTACGGTAGTTTGAGGCTTAACCTTGAAGATGTACACAATTTTCTACAAACAATGCTATAAAATTCTAGTTCCACAATTAGAGGTTCGTCTTTGATAAGAATCATTATATAAACCTACACCATTAGGCATCTATCCCAAAAGATCGATATGTATCAGTCACAAAAAGAACAAGCGAAGACTAAAATATTGGTGAATCAAAGCGAAAAAGCTATTATCATCTACACGAGTTAGAAACACTAGATAGTTATCCGGTATTAATTCTATTCTCTGTGCCGAGTTGTAAATTTTTTCGTTTATTGATCGTAGTGTTCGTCGTCTTTCATTCATCTACCTACTGTCTTGTGAAAAAAAAGATGGCAGACTTGAAATTGATTGGTACTATTTAAATTAAACTATTGACATGCAAATGTTCTCATGTTGACAAAAAGTGAATTTTTGGCAATTATTCATCACTTTGTAATTACTGTTTACGAAAACAAAATCAAAACGATACTGATGCAATTATACACATTTATTATTTGTTAACGTTCGAGACCGTTTCTTGTCTATTGACAAAACATTTTTTGAATGTCATATCGATTAAAATGAGAATAGAAAAGTGAGTCAAACATAGTGTATTATTGATTTGATGCAAAAAGGTGATCATTGATCAAAGCAATGGCTTGTAACGTGGTATGATACCAGAAAAGTTTGCGCTTGCCAATGGACAGCCATCACCGGTAATTCCACCGGTTCCCCACCATGTCGGAAAATTAATATTATTGTTTGTCAGGACGAAAAAGATGATGAGTGCACAAACAATCACACCACAGTTCATTGCTGCTGAAAATACAAAAGCGTACCTTTTCCACCATGCGTTAGCATAACGAAAAAGTACAAAATTGAATAGAAAGCCAATGATGAGCCATGACGGATATTCGCCAGGTGGTGCTGGCGGTATGATACCAGTGGCCGAAAGAATGACCGGAAAATGCACATATTTAAGCCATTTAACTTCTGGATACTTTTTACGTAGAAGCCAAACGGGTACTGGTAAGAGTGCACCGATCAGAAAACCGAATAGAAGTGGCCAATAGATCGATTTGGGACCGAACATTTTTAGTGGACCTAAGATGAAAATTGAGAAATCAAAGTTTCACAATTCTAGGATATGTCCATTAAAAAAAATTCTAAGACATAGAATGTGTCTGTTTTTCTACTTCAATGAGTTTATCTATTGATAACCAATCTACGCAAGCAAGTAACCTCTTATTAAAATCGCAAATTTAGTCGTGCAAATGCAAAAATGTATTACAGGGTAATATAGAAGTGTCTTTACAATATCATCCACATGCTTTGCAATGCATGTATGAAGTTCTTCCCATTTGTTTCCTTATAAGAATGCAAATGACATATTATCAGCCAGCAGAAGCTCTATCAGGTAGAGCCAATCATAATGTCAAACATTCAAGTCCAAATATATGCCAGCAATAGAAGTAAGCTAACGCTCGGAAAAACAGTTATATTATCGAACCTGTGTTCAGAGATGGAACCTTCGACGTTTCATACCAGGCCTAAAGAATGGAAAACTTATCTTTCAGGCTTTGTCAAATTCGTTTTAGATATATTATAACTGTGGAAAGCTTGAAAAGTTCTTGACCTGAACACAAATTCAGTAATATAGATTTTGTTTTAAAGTGAACCGTGATCTTACACAGTACTCTTCTATTCAGTCTGTATATAACGATATCTCTGATACCACCCATCACTTGATGGCTGTCTTGGTATTCTAAAATGAAATTTCAGCCACAAACGATGTCTGATTTTACTGAGTGCTATATGTCCATATGAGAACCTCATACCACGAAATATCATAGATCTTTGATGATATATACGTTATATGTCGACCGTTTATATCTGTTGATTTTGAGAAAATAATGACAAATGGTCAATATTAAAGATGTAATTGCTAAAAATTCAACAGCTATAAATGATAAACGAATAGAATTTGAACCCGGAAAGTGAACCTAGTTGATGTACAATTCACTGTGTCTTTGAATATTAACGTGTTTAAAACCTTTTTCAATAAGTTTGTAAAAAATATTGTGATAAATAACTTCGGATCGAATTTCGAAAACAGCTCTATACTTAAACTTCAAAATTGTATAAAAAATGACTAGAAATCTATGACTTTTAAATATCAATGTCAAAGAATTAAGATAGTTCTTAAATACCTATAGCGCCCCAAATGATTGACGCCGAATAGAAAGTGGTTGATATTGGACATCTCCATTCAATATTTTTGGATGTACAAATATTTGGGACTGTATTCATGAGATATATGGCAGTTGAAAAATTCACAACACAAGCAACAACAGTGGCAATGATCTGTGTTGTGAACATGACACGTGGAGGAATCTAAAACAAAAAAATTTTGCAATGCTGCTTGCATATTTTTCTTTTCGCGCTCCATCGATCTTACTTTCATATAGTGTCCAAGTTTTAAATCAGAGAGAAAAAATAATGCTTGAGTCTCTGTTATATATGCATATGTTTTAAACGTCACATTCGCTATTGGATCGCCAGGCATGATTAAACCAGCCACAAATTCAGTGATGACATTTAGACCTAGAACTAACTGACGTGATCAAGACAACATCACTTATGAATGTGTTCACCTAGTGTCACATTGGTGACTGCTGTCATGATAGCATTAGGTAGTAAAAAAATGAATGCAATAATCACGGCAACTAGAAAATACATGCAACCTTGACAAATGAAGGCAATCGAACTTAGTTTCACACATACGAAAAAGCATGTACCAGGGCATAAGTTCGCCAACTTGACAAACAATGATTGCGATGACGAAGGCGATGAAAAATACAATTGTATACCTTAAAATAAAAAAAAAGAGAACTAGCTTCAGACGTATCAATTGGTAAATGAGACTCAAATATACCACCATTCGGGTGCTTCCGTATACTGAGCCATCAATTTAGCATGAATATCATTGGCAGAATTAGATATCGACGAACGAAATCGATTGATGATGATTTTACCTTCAACAGTCAATATGTACAAAGATGTATATTTTACTGAGCAGAGAACGTTTGTTTCATTACCCTCATTGAGAAAAGTATGAACAAGAATACAAGTAACTGCAGCAAATCCGATTCCATAGTTGAAAGCGAATATGGCTGTTATGCGTAGCGGACCTGAAAAAAAAACAGATATCGAAAGCAGTTGACCATGAAAAAGAATCAGAACCATAAAGGTTATATGCTGTCTCGTTTAAACGCAAGTGTGAATCAAGAACAGCATTGACATTGTAATAATAGCCTTCGACAGTAAAGACCCTATTTGAGACAATGGGCATCGCTTTTGAATTCCACAAGTTGTTGTAATAGGCGACTGGTGTGATAATCCATACAAGAATAATAAATCCAACAAGAATATTCAGTTGAGCCCTAAGCGAAACAAATGTTTACTTATTTGATAGTTTATTGTAGTATCATACCAAAAGGGAACAACAATGGGCGAATCCAAAAATGACACCCAAGCATTCCAATCAAACTCGAATGAACCTAATCCAAGTCCGTTAACTCCTGTCACTTGAGAAAGCACAATATTAGTCGGATCGATGAAGCAAAACAGAGAGAAAAATGATAAAGCGGGACAAATATAGCCTGGTATCCAATACCATAAAAATTGAAAGAAAAAAATTAAAAAGAAAAAACGAGAACCAGATATTCGCCGGTTTGATATAGTCGCATTGTTTTCATAGCTTTGTCTTTCATCATTGTCATCGTCGTGAAAAATGCGAAAGAGAGCACAGTTTATCAGATTACTCGGCCATATCATTGTTGCTGGCCACACAACTAATTTTCTCATGATACCTGCCATGCCATAACCGAGCGTTTGAGAAGATATAACAAAAAGTAGACCGAGCACATAGTTCATCGAACGATTGTAGAAAATACGTTGAATTGTTATGACTTGAATAGCCAATGATGTACCCTAAGAATTTTTAATTGAAGATAGAGTGATTAACAAAGGACGGGGGCGCATAAGAGGTCAAATCGGCCCATTAGGAATCGCTCGGGATAACCCTATTGAATCATACACCATTTGAAAGAGCAAGTTAAAGTGAACATTTTGATGCTATTTTCATAGGGTTTTGATCGAATTTTTGAAGCGAAGAGCTATTTACAAAGTTACTCATTTTTGGGCACTAATCCAATAATCGAACATATCCATGGTCGACCTAGTTTTAGTATAAGTTGATATGGAAAAATGGTTGTGAAATTAAGTATTTGATAGCTTCTTGATGGGGCTTTAGTCCTATATAAGAATTAATAGTTCCTTGTTC